TTTTTTTTTTTTTTTTTTTTTTCCCCTGCAACGATGGACAACCCGTGCTGCACTACCCCCAGTGGGGAAGAAAAAAGAATATGACACCCTCACCCGGTTATGGTTCCAAGTGTGAGGCTATTAAACCTGTTGCGTGCACATTACTTGGCGAGGGAGTGTGGGTCGTCCCCTTTTCTTTTTTGCACGTACCACCTCCGGAAATTAATTCTCACACCTGCACTGGTCGCACATTTTTTAAGGCGTAATTTTTTAGTCCACCCCTCCTCCGCACGTCGTGATGGTCCAGGTGGAACTCTGCCCCCCCCATTCGTCTGCGTGCAGTTGTTTACTCGTGCTTGTGCCCATTCGTTTGTTCTGTTTCGTTTGCTTTGCATTCATTTGGTGAGCAAGTTTATTTATTTCTCGTTCTTTTATTTATGTCATTTATTTATTTATTTTTTTTTGTCGTTCTCCATCGGTTAATCCCCGTCGGAGAAGAAGTCACTGCGCGCACCTTTGCAGGGACGCCGCCTGGCCAATCGTCTGACCTGATCAAGCAGCGCTACACGGCTGTACCGCTACACCGCCTCTCCCCCTGCGTGACGAAAATGCAACCCGAGAGTGAAGACCGGAGGGGGGACAAGGAACGGGAGGTCATCCTGCTGGGGATCCTAAACATAGACAATGTGTATGGCAAGGATTGGATTACAAAAAAAAAAGAAGTGAAGAAAGACTTACAAAATAAGTCGATCAAGTTAAACCACACCTTTAAGAACCCTTCAGCTTTTCAGGAGCGCTTTGAGTTCCTCACTCTAGAAGACTACAATGCCGTTAAGAATAATTATATATACAGCGCCATCGTTATTTTTAACCCTAACTTGGGTTTGAATTCTTCTGCGGGGGAGGACGCCGGGCAGGACGCCAGGGCGGACGCACCCGTTGGGCAGGCAAAGGTGAAGAACACGTGTGTGGTGAGCGGTGGGGAGAACGCCCCACGCGTCGCAAACACAGCACGCGATGTAAACAACGCAAACAACGCACCGGCAGGAGAGTACTCTAACGGAGGCGCGTCATCACTCCGTGGTGCAACTACCCCCACGAAAAAAAAGGAAGGAGTTGGCGTCCTAGTCGTCACGTGCAAAAAAACGAACAACGACAAAATGAAACATATTCTAATCAAAATGTTGAAGGAGGAAATAAAAGTCGAGTGCACCGTACTTAAATGTAGAGATGGCCACTTCTCCAGCCTCTCCCATGTCCGTCGTGAGGAGAGAGAAGTGAAAGGGAAGCACACTGAAATTAGACACTTGGGTCGCCCCGTTCCCTCCTCCCCGGATGTACCTCATTCACGCGTACAGTCTATAGCTCCGTCTGAAGCGGCGTCCATTGTTACCCCCCCGTCGGACGCAACCAACAAGCCCTTCGACGTGTCTAACAAGCCCTTCGACGCAACAACCAAACCCTTTGACGCAACAAACAAACCCTTTGACGTGTCTCGGAATAATTTTTTTAACATGACTGCCTACATATATGGTAATATGCAGCAGGGGGGGCTTCCCCGATGCGCACGCTGATGCGAGAACGGACGTGTGGTTACCCTTTCGCACGCCGCAACACATTATGCATGCTCACCACCAACCGCCTGTTATTGCATCCCCCCATTTATACTCATACGAATTATTCCTTTGCCTGTTTGCAGGATCATCCAACCTGTTGGCGAACACCAGTTTGATTCTACGAGAGTACGGAGACGATGAGTGGGCCGAACGCCTGCGGCGGACGAAGAAGGGGAAGGAGCAGAAACTCGGGGGGTGTCCCCCAGGTGCCCAGGACACTTCAACATCGCGGGAAAGTGGTCTCATCAAGACCTTCACATCGTTGTTTAAGAAGTGAGAGCTACGTTACGTAGAGGGGGGGGGAATCACAAAAAAAAAAAAAAACATATATATATAAAATCACCAAGTGTGCAAAAGAAAGTGTGTGCAAGAAAAAGTGTATGCAAAGAAGGGGTAGGCACACACGAACATGTGTAGAAAGTAATTTGAACGCGCGAGGAGAATCGGCCCGATGTCTTCCTCCCTGGTCTCTCACTGTCTCAAGGCCTTCTTAACGTCAAAGTGCTTCGACAGTTCCTGCAGGTGGGGGGGGGGGGGGGGGGGGGGGGGGGGGGGGAAGAGGTGATATGTGACTGTGCGTTGGTTTAGAAGCGGTTGAGAGAAGGTCAGAAGCAACACCCGTTTAGACGCTCCTGCCCCTTACCTCGGCATCGTTCAGGTAGACGATGTTCTTGTAAATGCTGGCCGGGATGAACGGATAGAGCACACATATGAAGAGCTTGAAGGCGAGCGAGTAATTAAAAAAGTAAATGACCTTTAGGTTATGCAAAAAATCGGTAACCAGTTGGAACAGATCCTTGAAGAGGGATAACACGTTGGTAATTTGGGTCGAGATATTTTGTGAAAAAATAAATAGCAAGACAAATTGATTGTGCATAAATGAGTTGAAGTGAAACAAAATATACAAAAACAATAAATGGTAATTATACGTTTGAGGAAATTTAAAAAAATTTATGACCATTGTTTTCCTTCCATGCTCGTCAATCCCGTATTCATATAAAAAAGAATTTTCCTCAAATTCAATATATTTGTTTTTTATCTTGTACATGCTGCTGAGACGGAGACAACACTCCAGATTGGCAATCACGTTCTCTTCCCTTTTGTTAATTTCGTGTAGCTTGTATAAATTCTTGTGGCCCTCGCTTTCCCTTTTTAGACTCAAAAACTCCGTGTCGTTGAAAATGGCTGACGAGGCGCGGGACGTACACGATGCGGATGATGCTGACGATGCGGACGATGCTGACGATGCGGACGACGCAGATGATGCGGCGGAGGACGATGGCGAGGTGCACGCTTGGGGCCAGGCGGCCACACCGTTGTTAGGCGTATCCTCCGTAGAGCGGCCCCACTGCGCATTGAGTATCCCCCCCATTTCTTCCCCTCTTCTGCGATGCCTACGTGCACCCCGGGTGACCCGCCGAAGCGTCCTGAAGATGCGAATGCCTCTGTTGCGCACATCAATGGACCCGAATTTATTGCCCAAAATGGCAATGTTTGCTGAAAGGAACATTTCCTCACGACACCGAGGGAAAAATATAGAAGCGTACTTCAAAGTGAGGAGGTACAAGTCATTTGAATTGGTGACAAAGACAATTGACTTGATGCAGTTGTAGAATTGGGGTAGGAGAAGTAGCGACCTCAGGCTCTTCAATAAACTCACCAAAAAAATATTTAGAGGAAAGAATAAGTTAAAGCAAACGATGGGGATCGAGATTGACTGAATTTTTTTTTCCACACAGACGCACAGAATTTCCTGTACACACAGATTCATCGTGTTATGAGTCGCTAAAATATATTTGTTATTGTACTTCGGTAGCATGACGTGCAGGACGTACTTGTGCGTTGCGTCATAGCTATTCGTGAGGTATACCTCCCCACTCTTCTTACATTTAATTTCCATTTTGTCTTCATCCTCCAACTTCATTAATGTTGAAGAGTATAAATTCTCGCAGACCGTTTTGGTAAATCGGTAGTTGTGGTTTGCAAATAACACAATCGCGTCTGTGTCCACGGAAGATATGTCTCCGTTGAAAAAATTAATTTTGTTATTCATTTCGGGGTGCACCATATACGTCTTCTCTTTCAGGGAGAAGGCATACGTTTCGTTGAGCGCCTCTCGGGTGAGCGTTGAGGCGGCGCGCCCCCCGCTCGTGTTGCGGTCATTCGTACTGTCCCCATTTATGCCGCTTGCATGCGTGCCGCTTCCATTTGTAGCGCTTACGTACGCACCGCTGGACGCTTCTGGCACCCCCCTGCGCGGGCCAAAGTTGAACAGCGCGTCCTCCCCAGGCTCCAGGCACCGATGCACGTTGGGTACCTTCGTGTACACCTCGCTCAAGGCGGCATAATCCTCCTTCGTCACCACGAAGTTCTCCTTGTACGCGCGGTCGTCGCTGTAGGCGTAAGTTATTTCGGCCCGCTTGCCTCGGCGTCGGTGGGGAGAGGCAGCGGCCTCGCCTAATTTCACGTCCTCCCCCAATTTGACGTCGCCGTCTGCTACGTCCCCCCCGTCTGTTACGTGCCCCCCCCTAACCTTATCGTACGCCCCACCCGAAATGCAAAACAACAGAAAGTTAAAATATGAAACGTCAACAGGACTAATCAGCGGGTGGAACGCCAAGCTCCGGGAAAACCTCCTCTTTGCATATAAATTTTCTGCATCGAAATTAAAGCAAAAGT